GTCAAAACAAAAGAAATCTGAATGAAACTTTAGGTATGACAAATGAATTGAATTGAAACTACACGTCAGAATGGGTTTCAATGAGAGATTGCAAAACAAAAAAAAAAATAAAAATACACAAGATCAACAGGAAGTTGTTGTATTGTGTTAGAAATAAATATCCAACGCAAAATGGGATAAAAGACGCGGAAAAAAAAAGAAAAAAGCCGACAATAATCCGTATAATGTCCATTCTCCAATCTCTTTTCACTAGTAGATCGACCCGAAAAATGCGTGTTTATTATGTGAATGCCCTTTTTTCCATACCTAATCACTTGTCTCCCGAAAAACTGCATTAACGGCGGCGCGGCAATCGGGGGTGACAAAAAAGAGAGATAAAACATTTACGGAGGTTGTTTTTAATGCTTTTTAATGATGAAGCATATTGGGTTTATTTTCGGATTGTCGTCTAATAGGAAGAAACAATAAAATGTAGAAAATTTGAGAGACGTGCATTGTTTTTACTGAGAGAACATCTGTTTGCAGGTCATTCAGGGTCATTTATTTTCTATTTCGGTGAGCATGAGCATCTGTCAACCACCTGCAGCATGCCAAAATTAGCGGTGATATTTTATTTGAAGGATGGGAGATAGGAACGTAGGATTTTTTAAAGGTTCAATTATCGCACCTATTTTAATAGTTAAGCTTGCAAGTTTTGGTGAAGAGTGCGAATTAGAATTGTAGTAAAAACAAGAAATAATTACCACGTTCTTTCAATACTAAACAGAACGAAACATTACATAGCGTTCAACCTTAAGTGGAAGGACCTTATAACTTTTATTTTCGAGCAAATTTATCTGCGTTCCTGTCAAAGATATACAAAAATTTACAACTGTCAAATTGTTTATAATAATATCACAAACATTTTATCAGTTTACCAAAGTTTTATATCTCTTACAGCAATTGAGATAATTGTTCTCAAAGTGCAAATATACTTATTTCATCCAATAGAACCCCATCCGAACCTTCAACTTCGAGTTTAATTATCTCGATTTCTGTGAAGTGAATCGAAAAGTGGTCAACTGATATAATGTTGTTGATATGATGATGAATGTTTTATCAGTTGACATATTTTTGATATCTTTCATAGGAGTCGAGATAAAGGAGCTCAAAGTTGGCTGATTGGCTGGACTTCTATTAAAGGAAATGTGGGATGTTGAAATGCTATAGAAAATTTACGGTATAGTGTATGCCTTTTTTCAATAATTCCACGATTTTCAGTGTTTTTTATCGGAGAAAATGTTTGAAAAACAATGGAAAATGGAGGAAAACAGGTGAAAAATGTGCAGAAATCTATTCCAAAATTGGTAATAAAAACTAATGCCGCAATTCTTTAATGCAGTTATTTATATTTATTTTTCACTAATTTAAGAAGCGTTGCATTAATTTTTTCCCAGAATGATAAATAACATTAAAAAAAATTATTCGATGAGAAAAATCACGCGCCATGAAAACTGCCAAGTTCGACTTCTACAAAAAATGATCTTCAACACTTATGAACACTACCGAAATCCTTGAAGTATGAAAAAAAATATTGGACTGAAGACAATTTGTCTTCCGTCTGTCGTCCAATGGCTGGTAATTGTATAATTATGCCAACAACTTGCCGCCGGGAAGAATCCATTTGCGCAATGCCCCGTATTATAAGTTAGTGGACACGTAGATTTCAGAAGGGCAAAAAAGTATCATGGTGAAAGGAAAAGGAGCGAAATAGCAGAAGCGATTTCGGTTTTGAAAAAAACTGTCTCCACACGATGAACAGATTAGGGCAAGCCACCGGCGCGGATATTGCATAACGGACTGCTGCGACGTCTCGTTGATTGAAACAGTTTTCTCATGCATAAGAACTAAACGATTAACGGGTAAAAGTGAAATAAGAGAGGAAAAAAAAGATGAAGCGAAAAAGCTTTTAGTACTAGTCTTTTTTTCACAAAATCTCATTTTTTAATTTTTTTTTTCGGATCTGATTTATTAATATTTTTCTTCACATTTCGACCCATTCATCATTCACGGTCAAGAAGGAGAGGCGAAAAAAAAGTGAAAAATGACTCCGAGATTGTGTATTGAAATGATTTGCTTGAAGGGGATTGTCAAGAAGTTCAGAACACGGATTAGTAAGGGAAAGTAATGGCGTACTAGACAAAAGTTGCGGATTGGTCTTTTTTTCCTAGGAATAAACACGGATTTGAAAACAGAGATCAGAAGTTGGGATTAGGATTTTCCGGTGTTGAAGTGGAAGACATTTAGAATTTATTTCTCTACAGTAGGATCTTCTAAAAATTGGAGAAATTCATTTTAAGCAAGTTAGTTGGAATGACTTGTTCGAAAAAATCATCGTAATAAAATACTAAAAAAATTGATTTTTTTATTGGAAAATAATCAACTTTGGAGCCCTACAAAAGTGGTTCAATATTTCTCAATATTTTTGAAAATCTCAGAATACACTAAACTGAACAAGAGCTTCATTTTGTAATTGATAACTTTTTTGTGAAAATGAAACCAAGCGATATAAGGTACTCAACAGTGGCACAATTTTCACTTCAGTGTTATTTATGACATTTTTTGATTCTGAACTGCATATCTCACTAGAATGGAATTTGGCACAAAAGTTGTCAACTACAAAAATGAAGTTCTAAGTTGGTCCAGTGTACTTTGGAATTTTCATAGAAATCGGAAATTTCTGGAATACTTTTCCAGAATTTCTAAGTTGACTATTTTTCACTGAAAAAGTTAAACCATGATGTATCGCGTTTCTTTGAAGCCTACCCTAACCGTCAGCTTTGAGTTCGATTATCTTGATTCTTGTAAAAGATTTCAAAAATTATTCAACAAATAAAACATTGGTGATATTATGATAAGTAATATATTAGTTGACAAACTTTTAAATCTTTCACAGAAATCGAGATAATCCAGCTCGAAGTTGACGGTTTGATTAAAGGAAATACGGTATTTTGACAGATACTGTATAACAAAAAAACTCTAAAATTAAAATTTTCAAAGTACCATTTTTTCAAAGTAACATTTCCTTAAAAAAAACAAAACTGAAAAATATTCGTATTTTTCTCAATGTTCACACTTCGTTTCCGTTTTTCCCATAATAGCCCTGAACGACACACTCGTAAGTATAACTGACCAATTATAAATTCCAGTTTCTTAGAAAAAACAATAAAAAATTCTTACCAAATGGTTGAGAGCGAAGAATGTCGGCATTGTTCCTCGGTTTGGTCCTTATCTCTTCCAGAAGACCTTCGAAAAGGAGAAAATAGAAAGCGACTGCTTGTTCCTGTCAAAAAGTAATGAACGGAAATGGAGATCGGAAATAAAATAGGCGATAATCTATGGCCAGAATCAGCGCACAGTTATCCTTGTTTTTTGTCCCTCTCCACTTGACAAAACCAGGATATACAGTTTTGAAATGACCACATTTGCAGGTGGCGACAACGATGTCCATTTCCCTCCTTCACTTCTTCTCGCTTTCTCCGGCAATCCAGCTGGGTCAACAACAAAACAATCGCGCATTGAAATCTTTTTGACTTATCCAGAATAATAATGATCGTTTTTCGACTGCCCGCCATACTGTTTTCCGGGAATATTCGGGATGTGTGTGCTTAAATAAACGGCCGAATAAACGGAACACTCGACGATGGCAACCGCTTTTGTTTCAGTGGATTTAATATTGCAAACAAATGGTAATGGTTGAATCATCATTACTAAAACAGTTGGAATTTTGCACAAAAAAAAAGCGAAATACATAAAATCGCGGAGAGAAAAAAAAATGAAAGCAAAAATTCATTTTTCAAGTTGTAAGTTTAAGAAAAAGTTTGATTGCCAAAATTTCAATTGTTCAGTGAAATGAAATTTGTGATATTTTTTTAATGAATTGCTTTACGAGATATTATTGAATATTAAAAATGTTTGTTGTTTCATATTTCTTCGGGCATATTTCATACTTGTAATCCGGGCCTTGCCATTGTTTCTTTCAGAATCATTATTTACAGCCCAACTAAAATAAATAGGATAGACCTCGACGAGTACTACAGAATGATACTATCTGTGAAACTGTATCTTGTTTGCGAACAAAGTTACAGGCAAAAAAGAGCAAAAAAAGCAGGCCCGGCCCGGCCCTGCTCGGCACGTCCGAAAAAAGCCACTATATGGCCTGTAACTTTGTTCGCAGACAAGATACAATATTCCGCATAATATTTTTTTAGTACTCGTCGAGTTCTATCATATCCGATGTACTATTTCAATTGAAAATTATCAGAAGAAGCCGACGCCACTAAACTTGCATATTCAGCTCAATTGTCTAATTTCTTCCAAATAATATAAAAATTTTGTCAACTATTAAAATGTTTTTGATAATGTCAACATGTTCACGATTGTTCATGTCAAAAACACGTAACCATACATAGAGGAAATTCAAAAGAAAATTGAAAACCCTCGAAAAACACTCTGAAAATAACGAATAGAAGGATTCAGAAATAGGCATGAATTAAAATATACCTTCCTTGAAGTGATTTTTTGAAGTTTCGAGTTGTTGTTTCAGTGTTTTGTTTGTTGCTTCGTTAATATGCATGGTTACCTACAAATCTTGATGTAATAAAACATTTTGATTGGTTTCCAACAATTTTTATGCAAAAATGAATAAACCTCAGTTTCATTTTCAATAGAACTTCTCATTTACTTTTTTCCTTGCTACTCACATTTTCTCTTGAAAATGTTACCTTCCTTCTAAAAGTATTACTTTCCCCTTTTTTGTTTATATTCTTTGGTATTTAAAATAGCAACGAATACAAGCCAGAACTGGAAGACGAGAAGAGAGGAAATCTATACCGCCGGAAGCCGTTTATTCACTCTTCGCCGCTTTTTCGCCTTTCGCTACCATGAACAACAAAATTGTCGTGTCGTTTCCGACGTTTAAATGCAACAACGACACAAGTATTGCAACATTCATACCACTCATGTCGTCGTTTAGGAGCTACGAAGACCCGGCTCAAGACATTCCTACCGAAGATATTCTAGAACAGTTTGGTAGTGATCCGGCACCGAGAAGACGTCACCAGCTGAAGTACAAAAATGGAGAGTGCTTTGTAGCTGAAGAAGATTTGGTTCAGAATTATCCAAAACAACGGAGCTTTCATCATTCTTGCAAGTGAGTTTTTTTTTGAGTTTAGGAAAAGTTCAGGAATTTGTTTCAGCGCTGGACCACTACTTCATGAAGCGGAAGCAGCAAATTCTGCAGTATTATCTTTTGATGCATACGCAGAAGAAGACGGGATTGATGAAGAGATTCATCGTATTCGAATTTTCAAAATCAATTATCATTTAAATGATGATACCGTAACTGTTAATGAACCATTTGTCGACAACACTGGCTATCTACATGTGAGTATAATATTTAATTAATAGTGAGAAATGAATTTTTTAAGGGAAGAATTTTTCGCCGTCAAAAAGTTCCCGCACCTAATCGTATCGGTAAACCATACATTCATTGGAGTGATCTGAATGTTGGATCTGACGTAAACTTGTTTCAAACTATTTACAGAATTACTTCATGCGATGGATTTACTAGAGTGAGTTTATCATTTTTCAACTAATATGAATAATGTAAAGGCTATAATAGAAGCCTACCCTATATATAACTTTGAGCTCAATTATCTCGGTTCCTTTGAAAGATATCAAAAAACTCAACGAATAAAATATTGGTGACATTATGATAAACAAGATCAGCTGACAAATTTCTTATATCTTTCACAGGAATCGAGAAAATTAAATCTCAAAGTTGACGTTCTAACACCGTACTCGCATTAATAGAAGCCCACCCAATGCGTTCATATTGAGCTCAATTATCTCGATTTCAGAACTTTCTTGAAGAGCATGGAATCAAGGTAAATGAAGATGAAGAACTCCCTGAAGATCCTTGGTTAGTAGGACGTCGCGGTGCTCCACGAACTGCCCCGAAGCTCCCAGACCAACGAGAATTCATAAACAGACCGCCAATGTTGGTCTATCGTTGTTGTTGGCTAGATCACATGAACGATTTCCATGGTTGTCGTATGAAAAGAATTTTCAAGTGAGTTGAGCTCATTTAATTCACATTTTCTTGTTCTTCCAGAATGTTCGTATATTGCACCGATCATACTGTAGCTCTCATTGAAGAAACCAAAGAATTTGAAGGACAACTGTTCCTGAAAAGAATAGCCATCCCGTTTCCAACGCAACCAGGTAGGAATTCGGAACCAATAACCTACATTAGCATTTTCAGAAATGCCCCGACGAGACTATCGCTGGTGGGACATTCGTCCTGGAGTTTGGGTGGATGTGTTTTGCAGACCAATGTTTGTTTATGAGTGTGCCAACGACGAGACCAAATCATTCATTCGTCAACAATTTGGGGAGACTGATTTTGCAAATTACAGTAGCCAGGTATTATTCTGATACGAAAAAAATCGGAGATGTAGAAGAGATTAAACATAACAGACAATTTGACAAAAACCAGTGAAAAAACTACAGAATAAATTCAGAAAGTGTTGTTCGAGACCTTCTGTGACGGTCACCGGCATTTCTGCATTTCTCTTTTATAGCTCCGATTTCATCTTATCAATTTTTAATAATTTATTCATATTTACAATTTTCGAAATCCAGATTCTGGAAGACGGACCACCACCAACTCAGTTCTTCAATTCTCCTGCGATTCTTAAGTTCCGTTGTACCATGGTATTGAATTCGACAAAAAAACACATTAATCAAAATTTTCAGGTTGATGCTCCATCTGTACTGTACGGTCTTCACTTTATATTGGAGTATGACGTCAATCGGAGATTGGTGAACATTTCAGAAGAAGGACGGAAGACATGGACCGAGGGAAGAGTGTTTTTGAAAGACGTCGACGCTTCTACATTCAGGTAATTAAGCCGGCATATGTATATAATTCGGAGGGTACAATAATTCAGGGTTCAGGGGTACCAATATCGAATGTTTGAGGTGTTTTGTACCTCTGAATTGAGGATTTTGCGTCCCTCAATTGTTTTGTTTTCCAATGACCTCACAATATTGGTACCCTCCGAATTATTAGCCAATCGAGCCTGTAGTCCTTTTATTGGGATAGTTTCCATGTTGCAGTGAGAACCAATTCGCACCGGGAAGAATTTTACAATTCTTCAAATGGCGTTTCAATTTGGTCCAGTCAAGTTTGGAAACGGACAAGTATCTTCGTTGGAAGCAGACTCCTAGTCACAAATAGTCATTTATTGAAATTCAAAATATAGAGAGTTTACATTTATTGTGAAATTAATAAATACTCGGATAACAGTTTAGTCAATTGCAGGACAATAATAACTGAGAGTAAAATAGAGAACCGTAATCTCGGATAAAAGATAAAGGAGGAGGGCGAAGGATAGGTTTAGGGCTCTCAAAACTCATCCAAGTGATGAAGAAAGCTGTGAACCCAAGATACATATTTTTCGTATTCCTTCACTTCACGAGCATATGCTCGATCGTGATATCTATTTATTACTTTAATAGCGAATCCTTGAAGAAACATGTGCTGGGTGTCGGTGAGATTCAGAGCGTTTTTGATGGTTTGTTCCTTGGCCAGCTCCGGAAGCCAGCCTCCATCCAAATCCACTTCTCGGAGACGCCCAATAACACCGTTTTGGTGTTCTTGAGGGATGACAAGAGCCATCCATGACAAAACGGTCTCTTTCTGAAAATAAGGACATGAAAATGTTGTAAAAATGAAGCAAATTCATAGTTTTTGCTCAAAGCAACTAACATAGAACCTCAAGATCTTGTATACTCCGATTTTGGTGTAACTCATTAGATCGGTGGAGAATAGCTTGCCTCTGAAAACTCTAGAATCCGCTCTCCAGTATCAGCCGAGTTATATGAGCTTCAGTACCAAAACTCGCGACGTCAGTGCAAACCAGCAATTTTTAAATGCAATTTTTTCAACTTTGAGGTCATTTCAAAAAATCTGATTTTCTAACGATTTCCCAAACTTAAACAGCAATTGAAAAATTGTTTTTTTGGGAAAATGTCTGAAATGTGCAATTTGATTTGATTCTCAGTATAACAAAACAAATTTCATTGCATTTGAAAATCACTGTTTCGCACTGAAAGGGTGATTTTTGGTAATGAAACTGATATACTAACTCCGCTGAAACTGGCGATCGGATTCTAGGATTTTCAGAGAAATCTAAATAAAGTATCTTCAATGTATTTTCAAAATTATATCCAAACCTAAGTTTACAAGGTGTTGAGGTTTTTTTGTAAGAAGTACAAATCCTTCTAAAAACCAAAAACGTATACTCACCGACCAATGCCAGAAATCATCCACAGCAGTATTCGGAGGCAGGGGACAACCGTGTGGCAGACATTCGGCCTTTTCCGGGGGAAATTGAAGCCTCTCTCGACGAAGCGGTAGTGGGAGGGCCGCAATTTCGTGAGCCATATCTCGCGAGACTTTTTCGAGCGGTGCTTGACACCAAATGAGAAACCAGTCAGAATGATACCAAAAGAGTTGATCGCGCACACTAGCAAGTTCTTCATCCCAGTAGTCGGGGTGCTCTATTGGCGGGTGATGAATTCTTTCAAATCCATGACGTTTTCGCCATTCAAATATGAATTCTTTCAAATCCATGACGTTTTCGCCATTCAAATATGCCCTTTTCAAACGCTGAATGGCCAAAGGAAAACGAGCGGCACGATCCGGGTCCATGAAAACAAAATCTGAAAGTATACAAAATATGAGAAACGGAAGAATTTGTAAATGGAGCGGTGAAGTTGTTTTATTGCTTCAATTTGTGCAGAAAATTATGTAGCTTCAGAATTTTGAAAATTTCGAAAATTCAATAATGATCCTTTCATTGAGAACAACATATCGAAAAATGCCTTTTTCTGAAGTCAGCTCTTAGGGACGATTATTATTCCGTATAATGATTAAAGAACAAACAACGCAACAAAGGATAATTCCGAAATTCTTAAAACCAGCTAACTGTGTCAAAAACTGTGTCAAAAACTCAGAGAAGCTCAATCAGTCCTAACACTCATTAAATTCAAACACACCAGGTTCGCGCGCGTGACGTCACAGCGGAATAGCGGAGTGTCGTTGCATGCGCATGGGGAACTGGTAGAAAGGGTACGGGGGTGATTGCCTAAGCAACTCAAAAAATCGATCATCTATTTTTTAAAAATGTGGAATCAATTCCTTTTTAATCAAAACTGTCTTGAAAAACGAAGCAAATTTGGTAGAAAACGAATGGAAATCGAAAAATTCTACATAAAAATGGTTGGAAACTTTGGCGCACCCGCAGTGGCCGTGGGGGACTAGAAAACTCATACTTGTTCTGAAATATAACATGTTTGAAAAATTATTTTTTGATGAGGGTTTTTTTTTTCTAAATGAACGAGTTTCTATCGAAAAAAATTCTTCCATTTTTATATAAATCGACATAATTTTCTGCACAAAACGAGAATTTGAACAATTCACCGTACAGCACCTTTAAGATGAGCCTGTTTTGAAAATGAGAAATAACAAAAATCGGTAGAAGCAACACCAGAACAAACTGATATGAGAACACAGGCGTACGAAAAAAACAGAAAAATGACTTTTATTGAAGTGAACTTGTTGAAAAATATGTATGGGAAATAAGATATAGGAATAAAACCGATTGATATAAAGAATCAATTAGAGAAACTCAGTAAAACAAAGAGGATAAGATATGCGGTAACATAACGAAAAAACAATAAAGATTCAAGATACAAATAAGAAAAGTTGAAAAAAAAATTTGTTTAAAAAACTAAAATGAATTTAGGAGAAGGCGAAAAAAAAACAATACAACAAAAAGGGAAGTGAGGTTAAGGAAACGTATAATTAATAAAAATTCGGAAAACGATTCAGTCAATTTTTGTAACAATAGTTACTGGGAATGAAGAAGGAAATATTGACTTTCCCCAACAAAGTCCCGGTTTCTGCAACGTACAAAACACCATTCGATGAAGTTCCATGTTATCCAAATTGTTATTGGGATAATTCCTTTACGTCAATCGGTTGAAGGTTGACCAACTCGACTTCAACTGAAAATAACATCAATTTCTGAAAAAAATACAAATCATTTAACTCGGAAAAACTGTTATAATCAATTTACCGTTATCATTCTAGAAACAAACAATCTCCACATCCACTTGAAAAAAAAACTTTCATATCCTCGAAATTAAACAAATGACATCCAAGAACGAAATTTCCGAAATAATAACAGTATCGGCAGCTTCCTCGGGAAGTGTATAATTTTGGCATATGCTGGTTGTTGAACCCCTGGTCCCTTATTTTTTGGTGTCGTTAGATAGGATATGACGAATATGTCTGCATCTGAAAAAAAAATACTTCTTGACTCTGAAAAAACAAAGTTTGAACTTACGTTCGAACAATTATCCATCCAGTATCAATTGATCATTTAGGACCATCACAATACTAATCCTGGTCCATGATATGTATCTCAATCAACCAACGGCATTCCCATCGTTTTTAAAGATTAAGGTGCAGAGATCACATCGATTTCTGAAAAAAAACTATAGTTTGACTCTAAAAAGGAAGGAAAACTCAACTCGGCCCAAAAGGTTTTACAGCATTCTCACAGCGAATCTTTTTTTGTGATTTTGACGATGTCGTCAAATCATCATAGAAACCGAGTTTCCAGTTCTTCCATGGCACTGTTGAGTGATGCTCTCTTGAAATCGGTTTCTTTAGCCATCAGCATTTCTTTTCGAGTTTGCCAAGAGATATTGTCCCACATCAATCTTTTTTTTTTCATCATAGGAACACATAGCATCTTTCTATCGTCCAACAGTATTGGCAAACGATGAAGTTGCAGATTTCTGAAAATTTGTATCGTTAGTGTTAAAAAATCAAATAAGAAACTTACTTTTGTTCATCGGATTTCCTTGTTATCGGCAAATGATATAATTTCAGAGATATGAAATTTACAGCACAAACGGTTTTAGACAAAAAGACAAAAAAGGACCCACCGAATTTCAATTTATAAAATATTTATTGATTTCAAGGGATAGTGAATTGAAGATTCTGGGTGACTCCAGAAGAATATGTTAAGTCAAAAGGGGATTCAGAAGACTCTATAATGAATGGGGATTAAGAAATAATTAATTCTGAAAATTAAAAAAAAAAAGAAGAATGAGACAGAATAAAAGGGGATTCTGGAAATCAGAGAATGAATGGGTTTGGGAAATGTTACCAGCTTCTGGTACAAAAAAGTTTGGGAAAGTGCGATTCTTTGGAATCCGAAACAAGGTGAATGTTACAAGCATTGAGGAAGAAGACAAAAAAGGGGAGAGGAGGAAATTTCCAAAAAGGGGACAAAGAAGCAGAAGTGAATGGGATGAATAGGGAAGGAATAAGGTCATATAGAACATTCAGTCAGAAATCGCGCTCCGGCTGATTCTTGGAAAGAAAAAACGAGATGCAAAATATCGATTTTCTTTTTCCTGGGAACGATGTCTGACTGAATTGCTTGAAACACATCTCTTATTTTTTCAACCACTGAACCATTGTTTCCCAATATTTGGAGAAGAGGCTTTGCTGTTGTGCTGGCTCTTCAGCGCTGTTCGTGTCCTTGGCTTCAACCTGAAAAACCAAAATGTTAAGCAGTATTTGTGATGGGCTCAATCAAATATTCAAGCGTTACAAAATTTGAAAAATAAAATTACCTCTTCCTCTTCCTCCTGCATTTCGGTGGTTTTTTGGAACTTCTTGGCTGAGGCTCCTTCGTCTCCGTCTCCCGATCTTTTCTGAAAAAGATTACATGCTTCATTTTTAATCTCGATTTAAAAAAATTACCTTGGCTGCTTTCTGAGCCGGAGTTGAAGGTCCAACAACGGAGCCTTGAGCTGGGGCAACAACGTTCGCTGCAGCTGGCGCCAATCCATTCAGGGCACCTTGAGCCTCGATTCCAGCTCCATGTCTTTGGAGGCCCAATCTGGTGACTCCGTGAGTCCGACTTTGTGTCGGCCTCCGGAGTTTGATGTCCGCGGACCCCTGCAATCATAAAATAATGATAAAAAGAAAGCATGTTATTTTCCACTCACCCAGCCTCCTTTAGAGGGATCCACTTCAATCAACCTCCGAGCTTCCTTGAGACCATCTTCAAGCAGGCCCCAGGGGTTTTCGACCACCTGCACTGTGTCCTCCACGTGGACTGCTTTCATCCGCTGCAAAAATCTTACTTTTTTAGTACCTAAGTTAACAAAATGTTACTCACGCTTTCATCGCAGTGAAATTGCGAATTCTCCTGAGCGCTCAAATAGCGCACGTGCCACTCTGTACGTCCACGGCGGCGAAGTAACACCGCTGGGTAGGTATTGGCGTAGACGACGTCACCTACAGACGGCATTGCTGAAACAAAATACGTTTAGATTGCGAATTTCAATAAATTTTCTACATTTGCAATCTTCCTTTTCTCAGTAGTTTTAAAATTTTTAAGCGACGAATTATTACTCTGGTCTAACTTCCATGAGCTTTGCGGCCGGGATATAATGCAAAAGCGAATCTTCGGCTCAGCAGCAAGAACAGCTACGGTTTTCCAAATCAAAGCATGCGCCTTTAATATCGTAATCAACTTAATTTTTGTCTTCTTTCTTTAATTGTTTGCTTTTTTGTCAATTTTTGTTCAATTTTATTGAACTTTAATTCATCTCTCTTATAGACTACAAGAGCAGCCAAATATGGTTCTGAAATGAATGAATTGCGAGTTACGGTATGAAAGGCGCATGCATTCGTTGGAACAAGATGTTCTTGCTGCTGGACCGAAGATACTTCTTTGACTGTATTTTCGAATTAGATCAGAGTAATAAGAGGGTGACGAAAAATTATTTGAACGCACTTAATCTAATATATAAATTCTAAAAAAAATATCTTCACGATTTTTCATTGAACAACAACTACACATTCCGTGAACACAATGTGTGGAAGGCCACCTTATACTCGCACTTTGAACTCAATCATCTCGATTTCTATGAGAGCTATCAAAAATATGTCATCTAATAAAATGTTGGTGATATCATGACAAATATTTTGTCAGTTAGCTGATGTTTGTTTTCTTCTATAGAAATTGAGATAATTGAGCTCAAAGTGCAAGTGACGGGTGTTCACGTTATGTGTGGGTAAAAAGATTTTAGGAAAGAATCGGCCTATTATAGATATTCGCTATTTTTCCAGAAAATTGGCATTTCCAAATTGGTGGATTTTCGTTCAAAATCAATGAAATTCCATCAATTGCACCAAAATGGGGCCTGTTTTTTAGCAAAAAAAGAGTTTTCCAACAGTTTTCTATAAAAGTGTTGAATTTTCGGTTTATTTTTTATCTAAAACTTATTAGCTCAGTAAAATATCGGTAAAATTAAGGTATTTAACTGTATCGCTCATTCAGTAAACAAGCACGCGGCGTGTTTTCAAGAGACGCAGGAATACACCACGTAAAAAACCTCTAGCAGGGGGTTGTTAACTTGTTTACTGAATAAGCGATACAGCTAAAATACCTCGTTTTTTACCTGTATATTACCTAGCTGAATAATCCCGTTACAGAATTTTCAATTTCAGAGTAACACAATTTTGAGGGTTTCCCATCTATTTGAGGGGTACACACAACATAAACCTGATAGAAAATGAATGGGAGTTTTTTACAAAACTAACAAACACTATCAGATTATGGATGAACTCAAAAAACCGAGAAATTTATCGTTCGAGACAAGTTAGTCAACAAATTACTGATAACCGGTATCTTTCGATAGACACTCCAACTTCCAGTCTATCCAGATGCATTGAGGACTCAGAGATAACTAATTTTCAGTTTTTTCTTTGTTTATTTATTTTATTTATTTATTTTTATTTCAACGAAGGGGAGAAAACCACTAACACTTGAAATGTCTATGAAACTAGGAGATATAACAGGGACATACATTTGTAGTAATTGGGGGATGAAGGATAAACCGAGTTAGTAATTAGTTGAATTCAAGACAAGAAAATGTTTTAGATCACAGGATAATAGTCGATTTTTGAAAGCCGCTGACGAGGGCTTTACCGGACACACTTTGACGGGTAAAGAGTTCCAACATCTGATTACTATATTAGAGAGAAATCGAGAAGATATTTTTGTTGAGTTTTTGATAAGTGATTTGAGATAGTATTTGTGACGTCGCAATGATCCAGCATGATTAAATATTTCGAAAATTGGAACCTCCATGATAATTTCTTTGGAAACAATAATTTTATACGTGTAGACCAAATCATTATAGAGCCTGCGTTACTCCAAGGAACTTAGCCGACATTCTTCCAGTGCTTCAAAGTATGAAGTGTATGCCATCCTGAATTTTTTGAAAATTCTGAAAACAAATGACTTTTGCACCGATTCCAATTTTATAATATGATCCTTTAGGATTGGAGAAGTGACTATCGTTCCATATTCGAGTAAAGGGCGTATGTAAATTGTATAGCATTTTATAAAAACACTCCACGATGCGTTTTTTAGAATGGAAAAGAACATGTTGATCCTCTGATGTGATTTCCGAATAATCAACGAATAATGATAATGGAAACTCAGGTTACTGGAAAAGTAGATTCCAAGATCACGGACATTTTCCACAGGGGGAATCAAAGCTTGATTTAATTTGGGATTCATAACATTGGAGTTGGTATATTTTCTTGTTGCATTGAATTTGATGTATTCGCACTTTTTAGGAGCCGCTTTCATTTTCCACTTCGAGCACCAATTCTCCAATTCAATTAAATCTGCATCAATCAATCTATCATTCGTATCATAAATTTTCAAGTCATCTGCAAACAGTAGATAGTCACTTTGAAATTTGTCCCCAATACAATTAATATATAACAAGAAGAGGGTAGGCCCAAGAACAGATCCCTGCGGGACTCCGGACAATACGCGCCTCTCCTTCGATAGTATATCATTGATTTTGACTTGAAATTTTCTGTCCGTGACAGATGAATGGAGCCAATTTCTTAGTTTGGGAGATATCCCAAAGCTTTCCAACTTATGAATCAATTTGTTTATCGGCACTGTATCGAAGGCCCTCTGGAAATCAATATAGACGCTATGGGTATCTAACCCATTTAAAGAATTGAAAACAAGCTTGTTCTGGTAGGCGATCAGTTGGGAAATTGTACTTCTCTGATTAAGGAACCCGAATTGTTTTTCTGATAATAGATTATTTTCGGATAAGTATTGGACTAGATGTTTTCGTATCAACTTCTCCATAATCTTGCATATATTGTTAAAGAGATTGGTCTATAATTTAAAGGATCGGAGCGGGAGCCTTTCTTATGAAGCGGCATAACAATCGCCTCCTTCCAAGATTTTGGTATTCTTCCAACTCGATAACTTTCTGTGAATATAATGCATAGTGGAATCGCAAGAGGAGTACACGCTCTTTTCAAAAATATTGACGGGATACTATCCGGAGAAGTATTATTTCGGCCTTTCAGTTTATATAGTAATAACTCGATATTCTCCGGCGTGAATATGACATCTGAGCTGAACTTAGAAATTAGATTACCTGTAGCAGGAAGGATATCTTTGTCAATGTTGATAAATTCACTGAAGCAATCTCCAAATATTTCGGCTTTTCCTTCATCACTCATGATAACATTATCATTAGATTTATATCGAATTGCCGGTATATCACTGTTCCCTTTAAATTTCGATTTCATAAATCCGAAAAAATTTTTTGATCCAGAATTCAGACGTTTATAGATTCTTTCTTCTTCAGATTTTACGAGTGACCTTTTGAATAGTGCTGAAACATGTTTATACTCGTCCGAGTTACCTGCTTTCTTCCAAATCAATAATTTCTTCTTTAGTAATTGTTTGGTTTCTTTGGAATAAATTATATTATGAACTCGATGAGTTTCTGTTGGTACAAAAGATTCAATAAGCTCCAGAATAATTCCTCTCAAATCATCAAACATTTCATCAATTGACATGTTGAAAATCGTAAATCCCAGTCGATATTTGATAGAATATAATTCATCGATCTAAAATCTCATTTTTTGAAATTTTTCGTTGATTTGAGGGGTGAAATAGAATTAAGCAATATAAAGGTATCAATCTCAATCCTGCAATGGTCACTGAATTTCTCACCAACAATGACATCACGAATAATGTCCATGGAATTAGTGAACACCAGATCCAATATATTTGGTGGTTCGAGTCTTGTTGGATTTTGTACAAATTGCGTCAGGCCATTATAAAGCGAAAAGTCCAACAGTGACTGGCATTGAGAATCAGATGCTGTATATGAATTCCAATCAACATGGGCACAATTGAAATCTCCAGTGATAATAGATGGATTTTCAGTTGACAAGAGTATGTTAAGTGATTCTCGAAGGTCCTTAAAACAGTAGTGGTGATTAGGATTGTAGCTTACAATTAATCTTGTAGTTTTGCCATGTATTTTGATATCCACAGATAGAATTTCAACGGATTCAAGATGTGTCGGAAGTGATACTACCGTATAATTGATAGGCTTCTTGATTAGTATGGCTAGATCTCCGCCATGTCTGTTTCGATCTTTCCGGATTACAGCATATTTTTCATCAAGAGATAGCAGGGAGTCAGGATAGTTTGAATCAATTTTAGTTTCCACTAAACAGAGAATATCGATGTTGGAATTAGAAGACCATAGATCGAGTTGGAAGACTTTGTTCTTAATTGAGCAGCTATTGGTGTAACCAATTTTTAGAAATTTTCTGGGATCGAGTGTTTTTTGGCCCATGGCCACGGCTCCTGATTTTCTCTGTAGACAACTTTGACGACTTCCAGATTGCGAACCGTATAAATGGTTTGACCTGCCTCGTTGTTCTTTTGGATCACCGTTTTCCAGGATTGTCGATATTTCTCGAGTTCTGGTTTGGAGAGGTCTGGGCGGGGAGACGCATTCAAGCACCCCTGTATTGAAGCTTTGATTGAGTTGAATTTGGTGAGGACAGTTCTTGCTTCCTCCTTGGACTTGAATGCCGGGCGCACAATGGGCGGCCCTTTGGCCGGATGAGGTATGCGAAAAACCGATGGCGTCGAAGTACCGCAGTCCTTGGCAATTTTGGAGGCGAATTCAGCTTTCTCAATAGCTTCTTCCGAAAGGTCGATATTTTTGATGATCACATTCGATTTCCGTGCATCTTCAGAGTTAGCCAATGAGGCAGCTCGCATGAAAGTGATTTGGGATTCTGGAGCAGAGATGGTTGAGGCGACAGCTAAAGCAAAAGTTTTAATTAATTTAGTAGGAGGTTTTGGTGATTCTTTAGGTTGAGATGATAACAATTTGAGATTCTCCTCCAAGCCATCAACTTTTTCCGTAAGATTCGACAAATTGGCATTTAGAATACAGTTTTGGTTTTTCAACATTGTGTTTTGAGATTGAAGCTTGAGAATCGTTTCAGCCAGCGACTTAAACATCATTGCAATATCATTCACAGTGAATTCTTCTTTCGATTTGAAATCATTTGACAGCAGATATATAATGGGTTAGACATATCATCCACAGATTCAATTATATCATCCACAGCTTCCTTACTGGAATATTCAGACAATTTGGATTTCTTACCGCCATTTTCATCTTTAAAGGCCGAGAGAGCTTTTCTCTTATTTCGAGGTTTATGTTTAATAATAGTTACAACCATAGCGGCCAAAAAAAAAATCGATATCAGAGGAATAGAAGGGGTCACCGCACGCTACAGAGACGCGGGAGGGAATGTTTCCCATCTTTTTAAGCAAAAAATTCTACACAGCTGATCTTCTTTCCAAAATTTTGCAATTTATCAACAGGATTTTCTCTACCTAATTTTCCCAAAAAGCGTGATTTTGAGAGTGGAACAATGATTTTGTGGATGGGAAAAAACGTGTTTTTCGGAGTTTCTGTCAGAAAATTTTTCTGGGTCACGCAGTCGACCCGAATTTTTCGAGGTACCATTTCTCAAGAAGGGCTACAACTTTCATGTTGACACCTTTTCATGAAACTTGCCCTAAATAGGTGTTCCAGTCAAACTTCAGGGTGGAACAATGATTATGTGGACTACTGTAGAAGGTCTTTCCAGGTTTTACGGTAAGATTGAAGAAAAGTGTGACCCACAAATGCAAAAAATCAATTTTTTGACTACATGGAGACTAAAAAAATTCTTACTTCGAATCCAAACGAAGCAACGACGACGAGCTGGACAATGGATAGAAGAACACGAAGAGCGCTTCTGCAAGAATATAAAATGTGCCGTGTAATACTCTCTTTGCGGAAACAAGAAAAAGTGAAAAGTGAAATGTTTCAACCTTACCTGCGACTTTCAAGAAGACGATTCCTCGAAGATTGCTCGAAGAATCTACAACAACAGAAATCAGCGACGACGAATTCGATCACTGAAATTATTACAATTAGAATATGAAAATGCGAAGAAATTTGAGAAAATGACTTCAAAGATAAACATAATACAGTTTTAAAACTGGGAAGAAGGAATTTTTGACAACATAGAAATGACATGGAAAGTTTTTGAGCCCCTTACCTCTCTCGAATCCAAAATTTCAAGAACAATACACTGTCTTGAAGAGTGCAGCGAGTCTTGAAGATCGGAGATCTGAAACAATGTAAAGTTGAGCGAACGAGAGGTTCCGAAGCGGTAGATTTGTAAAGCTCGGGAAGATGCAGGGTAGAAAATGTTTGTTGGTCTAGATTTGGAAAGGTCTAGCTTTGAAAACCAGAGAAAGATACAGAAAATCAAAAATTACACATTGTCTTCACTTGATTGAGCCGAATCTCCTACTATTTTCGGGCCCCTATTTTTTCTGGGCTTTCTATTTTTGAAGCTCTGAACAAAAATAGAAACATCGAATAGCAGTATTTGAACCTAAAGAATGTAGAGTTTTCACTACCTTTCAGCACAGCGATCTGCAAATCCTGGGAGCCGGTCGAACGAAGAGAAGTCTCGAAGACAATCGAAATTGAAGATTCTGCAATAACATGAAGTATAAACAATCAACCTCGAATTCATCCAAAAATATGGAGCTAAAACATGATGCGTTTCCACTAACTTACCTATGAATCTGAAGCCGGAACCTGATGTCTCGTGAAGTTGGAGACACAAGAGCTTGAATCCAAGAACAGTACAGTCGGTGTGGACGACACAGGAAATGAAGTTCGAGAACTGAAAAAAATGGAAATTGAGAATGAAATCGGAAGGGCAAGTTTAGCGAAAGATAAACGAAAAGAAGAGTTCCAAAATCGGGAAAAATGAAAAGGATAAACAAAGGGAGAAAAAAAAGTAGAAAGCAAGAAAAACGGAAACCGCCTTTTTTGAAATGTATATAGGGCAAGTTGAAGTGAGAAATTTAGGCTTTGAGGTTGGAAAGCAAATTAAAGAAAATTTTAAAGAAACTTGGGGGAAAATTTTCTAGAGTTTTCGAAAAAAAATGTGTATAATATGCGAAAATTTGTTTTGATCGGTTTAAAACTATGAACATTAGGGAAATATGAATTGGCTGACATGGAATGACTCCCAAGTGTTACCCTCGAAAAAAATCGAGACCTATATGGTTGGATAGAGCGTAAAAAGTTAGTTTAGATTCCAAACGGAATAGTTGGTAAAAAAATTTTTTTGGGAGTTATGGTCCAAAAAGTACCAAAAAATGCCTAAATTTTCCAAAAATCATAACTTTGTCAGATTTTGTCCGTTTGTTGAAATTTGAAAAACAGTAAATAGACAATTAATTGAACATTTTAGAATATAATTTTTAAAAAAATTTTCAATATCTCAAAAATCCTAGGTTAACTTTTTTTTTCGTTATGACCATTGAATTCAGCACATTTGATTTACTATAGAAACATATTAATACCCCGGAGGAAATCATGCTCACACAAGTTATGGCAAAAAATATCAATTTTTGGCACTTGGCTTCTTTGAATTCGTTGTCCTCGGCGGCCGGTATGGTGAGGGGCATACTTGTTTTTGTGATTTTTATTTGCATATTGTTTGCTTAGAGTGTTTGAAATAGAATCCTGCGACATACAAAGTCAATTTTTCAAATGCCGTACCATTTCTTAAAATCGTCATCTTGAAAAAAGCAAAATTTTGACATGTGACAGGGCACATCTATAGTTAATCTTGATGGAAATAGCCAGACTCTTGTTTAAACATGATTAAAATGACAAAATCTTATCAACGGCTTAAACAGAATTTTAAATTAGGCCCAAAAAATGAAAATATTCACTGATGATGGGACACCTTTTGTTTTTGATCATAACTTGAGAACGAAAAAAATATCAGAAAACTGGTAACGCCATTTAAAATTAAAAAATACTATTAGACAAATGTTATTGGTTTGTTTCGTATCGTGAAAAAAGGTGAAATGAAAAAAGGTCGATTTCGGCTGTCCGAAGCTGGAAGGATATCTTTCGGAAATCGTTCATTTAAATTACCTTCATCACAGGGTCCAAGTTGATTCCACTTGTACTATGTTATTGTTTCATTTTTAATCGAATGGCGTTACCAGTTTTTTAAATTTTTTTTTCGTTCTCAAGTTATGATCAAAAACACAAGGTGTCCCATCATCACTGAATATGTTTATTTTTAAGGCCTAATTTAAAACAAGAGTCTGGCCATTTCCATCAAGTTTATCTATAGATGTGCCCTGTCACATGTCACACTTCACCAAAAATAGGGGTCAGGCTCGGAAAATCGTAACTATTTTTGATTCTAGGGCCTAAAGCAAAATTCTGTTCAAGCCGTTGATAAGATTATGTTCTTCTGATTATGTTAAAAAAATAGTCTAGCCGTTTCTATCAAGTTTAACTATAGATGTGCCCTGTCACATGTCAAAGTTTTGTTTTTTTTCAAGATGACGATTTTAAGAAATGGTACGGCATTTGAAAAATTGACTTTGTATGTCGCAGGATTCTATTTCAAACACTCTAAGCAAACGATATGCAAGTAAAAATCACGAAAACAAGTATGCCCCTCACCATACCGGCCGCCGAGGACAACGAATTCAAAGAAGCCAAGTGCCAAAAATCGACATTTTTTGTTATAACTTGTGTGAGCATGATTTCCCCCGGGGTATTAATATGTTTCTATTGTAAATCAAATGTGCTGAATTCAATGGTTATAATGAAAAAGAAAGCTAACGTAGGATTTCTGAGATATCTAAAATTTTTTTGATTTTTTCAAAAAATCAATATTCCAATCAATAAGAAAAAAATCAAAAAAATTTTTTTTTTGAAAGCTCAATTTATAATCTATTTACTGTTCTTAGTTTTTGACAGACACGCTTAAACTGGCAAAGTTATGATTTTTTGAAAAAAAACAGCCATTTTTTGGTACTTTTTGGACCATAACTCAAAAAAAATGTTTTTTACCAACTATTCCATTTGGATTCTTGGATAATTTTTACGCTCTATTCCATCATATAGGTTTTGATTTTTTTTCGAGGGTAACACTTGGGAGTCATTCCATGTGAGAGTAGGCGCGAAATTTCAGGTTTTCCACTAAATGCGCTAGACAAAACGCAAATTGAAAGAAAAGAGAAACTAAGAAAGAGAAAATAAAAAATTGAAAAAAAAAATCCATTTTGGTGTTGAATATGTCAAAACTCAGCGTTCCAAAAAATATAAGCGAAACGTAGAATTCAAAATTCAGTTTTTTTTTCTGAAAACTTTGTAGATTGATCTGAAAAATAAACAAATATGTAGAGCCAACAAATCCGAAAAGCGTATAAAAACAGTACTCGTTGTCGCTCGAAAACGTGGAAATAAACATTATTCTTTTTCTCGACTCTCTCGTTGGCTATTTTCTGGACGAAAGTCTGTTCTAATAGATAGGACGCCAATGAGGTTTTTGAGAGATACATATTTCATCTTGTCAGTTGATATGAGTAGGGATTAAAGTCCCTGAAAGCTTGCATTGCTGACTGAAACTAATTTAAATCAAACTCATCTTTCTTTTTATCGCCCTTCCGCATATTGGATTTTTACTTGTGCCAAAAATTGCAGCTTGAACTTGAATTTGAATTTTTGCTGATCTCTCGAGTGATATCTTGAGCCCTCAGTCGTGTCCTGGTGATGTCCTGGCCGAAAGTATCAAATGAGCCTATTCTATTCCTCAATTGATCATATTCCAGACCCACTTTTTTTGCAATATGAAGCATCCAGACATGAACCAAGTTTGCAAATGTCATCTCATCTTCTTGCAAATTTCATGGAAACGTCCTGTGAACTTTGTTTCCAGTTATCCCAAAACCGTTTCTCTGTCAGTAAACTCCTCCGAACCCCTTTAGAAGTTTTCACTTATTAGATTTCTCATCTGCAGTTTTCTGGAAAGGTCTTATTGAAGGATCACGTCCATATCTGAAGAAATAACTTTTTGATTCTGAAAGAAACTAAATTTGAACTCACCATCGAAAGGTTATTCATCAATTGATCACTCATGACGAGCAGAATATTGAAATACATTATCGAAACATCACTTTGTCGCTCCTCAAATCATCTTGGGGATGAACAGTAGTACTCTTGCGCAATATCAGCTCCAGTAGAGTTTGATTGTGGATTCCAAGAGTCTCAACCGACCAACAGCATTACCATCACTTTATTGGGTCAGCGTGAATTAGTACATCGATTTCTGAAAAAAAAATTATTTGACTCTGTAAAAAAATTGGTAACCAACTCACCGCAAACATTTCGAAGCATTTTCACCGCAAATCATCCTTGTGGTCTCAGTCCCAAAATTGGTCTCGAAGCTGTCTCAAAGCATCCTACCAGCAAATTTCCCGATTGTCTTACAGCATTGAAGAGTATTGTCATATAGAAGACTTCGACTTTTCGTTGCTCTCTTGGCCATCAGCATTTTCAGTGTGTTATCACATCGGATTGAAAAACTTTGTCGATATCTGAAAAAAATGGTAAGTGACGACTTTAAAGTAGATATTCAAAAAAATTCTTTAAAATAAAACTTATCTCAATAGTTTCATTCCATGTTTTTCCAGCTCCTCCCTCTCCAGACAGTTCCAATCAGCTTCTCCCTGTACCTAAAAAAGTTTTAGGATGAGATATAAATTCACAGTATCAACTGTAGTTAGGAAAAAAAGAAAAAGGTCTTATTCAAAAAACTGCTGAGTTTCATTGGATTTAGAAAACAACAAACTGATTATAAAACAACAAATGGAGAAGAAACATTATTCTCCTAAATCACACAATTTTCAATTAAAGATATGGCGCGGAGAAGGGAGAGGTATTAGAGACAATTTCAAGAAGGAAAATCGACAACCGTTTTGGCAGGCAGAGAGAGAGAGAGGGGGGGGGGGAGAGATATAGGTGAGGGGGGGGGGGGGGTTGTCTAGAGAAAGCTACGTAGGAATTTTTTGGCTCTCGTCATCATTGAGCTGAAGAATCCGGCATTTTCTCTATCAGCCTGTAAAACATATTCTGTGAGGTGATCGAAAACTATGAAAAACAAATTTTCGCTTATTAATTAAACGTGTTTCTTGTTATTCCTTAGTAATTGTTCCTTTTTCCAAGGATACAAGTTTAAATGCTACTGATAAATTTGAACTCAGCATTTCCTCGAAATAATGAAATCTAAATAATCTGAACAATGGCCCACCTCAATCTCCTCCACCAAGCTTCCTGTGACTTTTTTAGGCCGTTTGATGACTCCCTCATTTGCAGTTCCATCCGCTTTACGTTTCTACAATCATTGATTTAAAAAATAGATTTATAATTCTCGAAATGAATTTACCCTGGAGTCACCGGAAGCGACAAGAACTCGAGCCGATGTTTCTTCTTCTTGAGCTTCTGGCTCTCCTCCAGCTGTAGGCTCTTCTTGTGATGATGGTGCCATCATAGCTAGAGCATCGGCCATTTGGATTTTTCCGCCTGTATAAAGTGCCAGGGCTTCAGCAACCTCGGCGTAAAACTCTGGAAATTTTTGCACCATACTTAAACAATCGGCAAGCAGCAAAGCGATCATTTCAGCCTTTTGCTTATTCTGATCGACGATCTGTGCCTGGGCTTCTTCAACAGCTTGTTGATCTGCCTCAGCAGCTAACAATTCACTGACGGCGAACTGATTTTGGGACATGTTTGTCACGAAGATGTTTCTCTCTTCTTCAGCTGAGTATTCTGAAAAATTTCACTGGTGACGTAATCCGCAAATTGGAATTTCTAGATTTCCATGATTCGGATCTGCGAGATTTTCTGATATTTCTTAATAGTTGAACATCAAAAATTTAGAACGGAAGAACACACAAAAATCAAACTGCCAAAAAATAAATTCCCGTGTTTTCGAAAACGAGACTTTCCTAATTTCCGAAATTTGGATAGAACTCAGTTGACCTCAAATAAGGCGAATTTGAATACCCGCTTTTCGATTTAATACAACCACACTTGTCAAATTCCGGGCCGGGTTGGGTCAGGCCGTTGGAATAAATTCATGCAAAAAATGGTGACTTTGAAATGATTCGTCGAATCTCAGAATCTCAGAATCTCAGAATCTCAGAATCTCAGAATCTCAGAATCTCAGAATCTCAGAATCTCAGAAATTTAAAACTTTTAAAACTGCTGTAGTGGGAGGAAAGAAAAAAGAGAGAGAGAGAGAGAGAGAGAGAGAGAGAGAGAGAGAGAGAGAGAGAGAGAGAGAGAGAGGACGCATATTCAAATTTAACAAAAGCGCAAGAATATTGTAGTTGATAGGGGGAAGAAGAGAACTACAAATTTTTGAGGGGAAATATACGCTATTTCCAAATTTTCCCTTTGGCCAAAAATGAACAAAAAAATCTGGCTACTGTAAGGAAGTTCAAAATTTTCTATGACGAGATAAGTAAAAAATGAGAGATGGCAATATGACTGAGGTGGATATTCGGAAAGTTTGAAATTTTTAGAAAAATTGGAAATTTAAAAAACTCTAATGAAATCTGAAATTCTAGAAGTAATTCCGAGTTTCCTGGTGACTCCTAATGATTTCAGAATTTCGAAAAAAAATAATTTCAGAATATTGAAACGCAGATTCTCAGAACCTCAGGATCTCAAGATAGTAAGAACTCAGGATTTTAGAATCATGGAATTTTTAACCCTAGAATTTAACAATTTGAGGGCAGGGTTTTATGGACCTTGCAAACCGTGAAAAAGGTGAGAAAATAGGAAACAAAGGATCCCATTCGTCAAATGACTATCAATAGTCATCATCAAACAAGGTAAGACAAACAAATACTGAGGAGAACACTTTTACGACGACACTTATTTTTTAGACAACTGATCACAATTAGCACCCCGTCATACAATCGGCAATCTTATCCATTCTTTAGAAGTTTTGGATGAACCAAACTAATCCCCTCCCCCCCCCCCCCCCTCACTCATTTTATGGCCAAGTACGGTACTTCGAGCCATATGGTGATGGAGATTTTTCTGGGACACCTTCCTCTCTTCACTAGGGAAGAAATCTAAAAAACAACTAATGTACCTTTACTGACGTTGTCGACTTGAATTCTATTGAAATACCACATTATGAGACTATCTGCAGACAAATATAATGCTAAGACGCTTTCCTTCCTGCTCCAGATTACAAATCTAAGAAACTACCGTAACCCAGATGACGTCATCCGCACAGTCTATCAAAGGATGGTACTTAGAAACAGGTGTTAACATAGTGAGGTTCTGATTCATTCAGAGGGCTATTGCATCAACTACAGTAACCCAGCTCTAGATGAGTCTAAAGAGATGATAAGTCACATCCACATCAGTTTTTCAACACTAAGCTGACCCGAAAAAAAAACTGAAAACTAACCTTCGAATTGCTTGACCTTCAACAAAAATGAACGGCTGGTTGATCTTCGAGAAGCGAGCTGCAAACTATTATAGATTAAATTGAAGAAATTCCAAAACTTTAAAATGGTTGCTGCACATGGGATGAAAAGCGCACAAAAAATAAGGTCGAAATTTATGTGATTTTTCGAGTTAAAAAAAATTATGTTTTAAAAAAAATGTGTTTTGAAAATTATTGACTGATTAAAAACAACTAAGTATTCAGATCTCCAAGTTTTTGCCATTTTCAAATCAAGGAAAACGCAATTTTGAAGCCAAGAGAAAGGAGAAACTCGGAAAGGGAAATATTAGAATTTTCCATAGGTGTATCCCTCAAATTCTGGCATTTCATCTCAATACAACAGAGCTGAAAACGGCGGAAAACTAGAAAAATACGAAAAAAAATGTCGTGATTTCCATCACGCAACACACGGCGGTTTCTGATATGCACAAAGAAACACAAATGTCAGGGCACTGTATTCAAATTATAAGGTGGGAAAAAATCACCTTTCAAACAAGAAGCCGCGGTTCTTCTAATTTTTGCACTGGTCATAGAAAGACAAAAATGTCAGGATACTGTATTGAACTAGGAGGGCAAAAAAAACGAAAAATACTATCTTTTATAACCGTTTCCCCAGATCATAAAACAGACATGTCTGGGTACTGTAATGGGAAAACAATAATAAAAAAGTCCCAATGATCATAAAAAGGCAAAAGTGGCTGGATACTGTAGCGGGAAAAGAGAGGTATAACACTTTTCGACAAAACTAACTTTTTAGATAATTTATCATAATTCGCACCTTGTCAGTCCATCGGCAACCTTATCCGTTTTTTAGAAGTTTTGGATAGAACAAACTAATCTTCCCGCTCATTTGATGGCAAAGTACGGTACTTCGAGCCATCTGGTGATGGAGATTCTGCTGGGACATCTTCTTCTCTTCTCCAGGGAAGAAATCTAGAAAACAACTACCGAACCCCAAATGACAATGTCGACTCAAATCCTACTGAAAAACTCTACTCTGCGGCGATCTGCCCTGAAAGAAATTGCTGAGGCACCTTTGCTTATGCTCTAGATGAGAAATCCAAAACACTACCGTAACCGGGATGACGTCATCCACACAGTTTATCGAAGTATGATGTTTCGAAAGACGTGTCAACCTAGTGAGATTCTGTTTTATGACATCAGAGGGCTATTGCATCATCTACAGTATACCCAGCTTTCCATGAGGCAAGAAAAATATGAAAACTGGAAATTCCAAAACTCCGAGAATTCAGATTTTTTAGAATTTCAAAGTTTGCAGAATTTTTCAATACTCAAAAACAAGGAAATTTCTCTCAAGGTAGCTCAAAAAAGTTTTTTTCAGAAAAAAAATGTCAACATTTCAGAGTATCGATTTTTGACTTTCTTGTTTGTACGAAGTTATGGACTGAATAAAAGCAACTCGGTACGAAAATCTTCGATTCTTTGCAAATATCAAATCAAAAAATCGCGAGTTTGAATATTCAATCCCTACGTCTGATATTGTGACGCCGACAGTGCCTTTCAATAAAAATGGGCTGGGAACGACAAAAATCTAAAAAGAATACGAATGAAGAGAAGAAATCTAGAAAACAACTACCGTACCCCTGCTGACGTTTTCGACTCAAATGCTACTGTAGAACTGTACTAGAATTTACTATGAGGCGGTCCTAAAAGATATTGCTAAGACACCTTCATTCTTGCTCCAGAAGACAAATCTAAAAAACTACCGTAACCCGGATAACGTCACCTACACAGTCTATCGAGCTATGGTACTTCGAAACATGTGTTAACCTAGTGAGATTCTGTTTTATGGCATCAGAGGGCTATTGCATCATCTACAGTATGCCCAGCTTTCCATGAGGCAAGAAAAAAACGGAGGAACAGAGAAATCCGAGCGAAAAAATACATTGAAATAAGATAAGAGTTCTTTCAGCTGATCCTTTGAAAACATGCAGACATGTCCCTATCTTTTTTTACAATGGCGAAAATGTCTGAAAATAATTTTTTCTAAAACTGGAATAGAGGGATCAATTTTTGCGTAAAACGTCAAAATAGACTGTTCCAAGGCTATTTCAACAGTTTCCAACAAAAAAAATTCAATTTTTTAACCCTAAAATAGCTGAGATTTTTCATTTTTCTATGGGGTCCTATAATTATTGGACGCCTGCTGGAGGGTTTTTTTGTTGGTACGGGGGTGTGAAAAGAGGTAGGAACATGAAAATTTGTACCTGGTGGTTATTTTGTATTCTAAATCGAATGGCGTTTACAGAATTTTTATATCACTTTTAGTTTTTTTCAGAACCCTCGAAATCTAAAGGGGTCCTATAATTATTGGACGCACTGTAGTTAAAAAATCTTTGAAAACTACTGCCGTACCCCTGATGACGTCGTCGACTCAAGACCAAATAAAGTACTGTGAATATTTCTAAGACTTCTTTTTTTCTGCTCCAGACGACAAATCTAAAAACTACCATGATCCGAATGACGTCATCAACTCATAGCTTATTAGAGAATAATGCTTAGACGAATGTGGAAAAAATATACAGCTAGGATATTTTTTCTCAACTCGAGATGTCAGAAAAGAAAGGAAACCAAATTATAGAAGAGTGTGGTTCTGTTTCTACCACCAGACCAACTTTTGTCGACATCTGCATAAAACAAACACGGTGACGGCCCATCAAAGGGTTGCTGTTTTCATTTTCCGACATTTTCGGATGGACTTTACTAATCCTCTCTCCCCATTTGATGGCGAAGTACGGTACTTCGAGCCATCTCAGTGACATTGGTCGGACACTTTCATCTCTTCTCCAGGCAAAAAATCCAAAAAACAGCTACCGTACCCCTGATGACGTGGTTGACAGAGAGTCTGGGTGGTATGACGGAGGAAAACAATTTGTCGAGACAGGTTATAACAAGGTGGGATGCTTTATTGCTTCCGTGAGCCATGTCGTCATCTACAGTAACCCCAGTCATTCATGAACCAAAATGGTAAATAGATAGAGTTCCGCCTCACTGAATCAGAAATCTGAGCAAAACTGAGTGAGAATGTCAAAGGCTGTTTTTTGTTTTTTTCTCTATTGATCCCAGGAAAAAGACAAACCGACAAAAATTATATGATTTTAGATGCCAACCCCCTATTTCTTAATGCCGCGTTCAAAGTAGCCTCCAGGAACTGGAAATTGCGTCCAAAGCTGTCCATTGTTCCAGATTTTCCATGGACTCAAAACTTCGATTTCCCTCGTTGTAGCTGTGTTTTGTTCTTAGACATCAATTCCAGATCCAAAAAAAAAAG